AAGTCCATAATCACAACAAAATACATCACTTCCATGGTTTCCAAAAAAATTAATCACCCAACTTAAACCTCCAAGAGAGATGATTTACCTTTCAAATAAGCTTTGTAGTTGATCAAACTTCAACAATCAAGTATCCAAGTTGATCCCTTAAGCTCCAAAAGCAAGATAGAAGCTAGAAATTGAAGAATTTTGAAGGAAATCTCTCCCCCTCTCTTGCTCTCTCTCTTTCTCTTTAGTTTTTTGTTTTGTTGATTTCTTATGATTATCTTGCAAGCCTAAGGTAATAAATAAGTCAAAGACAATAGAATATATTTATCACTTCCATCAATCAAATAAAAGCTTGGTTATTGCCTCCTAGCCCTTACAACATTTACTTTCTCTTTCTTACTTCTTTGCCCTCAAACATTGAAAATCTTTCAATTAACTCCATAAATGATAACTTAATCTAGTCTAAAACACTTGATCACACTTAATTACACTTAATCACTTCACTAATCACACTCCTATCTTAACCACCTATACTTAATCATACTTTATCCATAATGGAACCCACTAAATAACAACCTTTATAACATTGGCAAAATTAGGTTTTTAAACCCAACTTAAGCTTTCTAATCTATGGGAACACTAAAGGGTTTACTAGTTGGAGGTTTTTCTAACTTTTAAACTTCCTTACCCCATATAAAAGAAATCGAATCCTATAATTACTTACTCCAAAACACGCACTAGAATAGCTAGCTTAATTACAACTCAATCTTGTACTTAATACAAAAGCTAGGCTTTTAATCTTAACCCAAATTAGGATTTTCTCATTAACCCTAAAACCAAATTTTATCGCACAAATAATGAATATCACCTAACATCAAACTTAAGAACTGACCGGGGTCTCACAATGTTTGTAACTCAATTTTCCCTTTCGTAGAGGGAATATGAGCATGCTAAGGCTAGAAAGTCAAATTCGTCCATATCCCATACTCAAGGGGTTGTTTTCCTAATCTAATCAAGCAAATGTACTAACCTATCTCTAATTTTTCCTATATGAAATGCAAGTTTAATGTCATGCTTCATACATAGGATTATATAAAGGAAAATATAAAAATAGAGGATATGGATATAGAGAGAATATGGGATAGGGGATACATGTATAAGGGGAATATGGAAAAAAAATACATATATATAAGGGGGAGTATGGGATAAGGGATGTGTGTATAAGGGGAATATGAGGGGAAAAAATACATATATATAAGGGGGAGTATGGGATAAGGGTTATATGTATAAGGGGAACATGCAAAAAATGATAAAAGACCCTAGAAAGTAAAATATGCATGAGATGAAGTGATTTTATCACACAATCATGATCTAACGCTCGAAGGACTCCTAAGGGTCTAGCGTTGGACTAGCCCATGTTTATGAATTCTCACTAGCATTGGACTAGTGAGAAAAGTCGGAACAAGAGGCCTCAACTAGCATTGGACTAGTGTGGTGACGTCACACATTGATTATAACTAAACCAATAATATAAAACATAATAAAGCAAGTAAACACATAATATCACATAAACACATAACACATAATCATGATATCTAGATGCAAGACCCTACGAAAGTGGATAACACGTAACATATAAGCATGCAAAACATACCAAGCAAATACAGCAAACAAGCCCTAACTATTACATTAGGGGGACCCTACTACAATCTAAGGGAAAAACGAAATAAATATCTAACTATTACAATTTTGGCATTTAAATGCCTTTCAAATGACCAAAATTGAACTAAAATAAATATACAAAATTAAAGCAACTAAAACCTAAATAAATAAATAAATAGATGAAATGAAAACATTTAAAAGGCATGCAATTAAGCACATAGGGGCATATAGGGTCAAGTAAAAAATCAAAATAAGGAGTAGAGTGTACCTCCTTTGAATTGGTGCCTTAATGAAATGAATTTACTTATTTACCCTCCAAAAAAACAAAGAAAAAGTCAAGATATCACTTTAATTAATAAATAATCACATGAAAGGAAAAATAAACACGAAATTGAATCACTCAAAGCATTTAAATAAAATAAACAACCCATATTCACCAAATTGAAATAAATAAGGACCCAATTGAAAGGATTAAAAAAGTTTGAGGGGTCAATTTGATTGATTTTTTCAATTGTTTGGGCCATAGTAGAATTAGACAAAAAAGGGGTTAGAATGCAATTTCTGAAAGTTGTGCATGCAAACTTACGAGCAAGCTTATGCTTCTGCAACAAAAAAACTGCTGCACTTTTGTTTCGCTTTCAAAGACCAATTTCAGATTCAATCGCATGCTCTAATCAAAGCTTTCTCGATCCAACATCCAAACTTTAAACTAAACAACACAAAACATAACTTTGACATCCAAACAAGCAAAAACAAAGAAGGAAATCATGCAAATACCGGAGAACTTCATGCAAAATGGTTCGGCAGCAAGCTTGCGGCACAACTTTCATGGTTTCTGATGTAGTTTCTTTTCATCCGAATACAGCTAATTACTTAAACAACAAAGACTTAGACTATAGTAGCAAATTTTCCAAACATTTTCCACCTTTCGACCACAAAATCCTTATATGTAAACACAACAGTTCAGAGGAAAAGAACATTCCCAAATCTGGAAAAATTATGAGATTTCGCTGGTTCGACACAATCAAGCAAAAATCACGAGTTTGTTAATCCAAAAACCAGTAAAAGTCTCAAACCATTTGGTTAGCAAAATCTGGACAAGGTTCTTAATATACCAGAAGGAGAAAATATGCAATAACAAAAGAAAACATGAAACCAGAATCATTGAGAGCTAACTTTGTTTCATCTAATGTAATCTTCCTTTTATTCAAACACATCTAACATTTCGACCAAACAACTAGAAACAAAGTGTCGCAAAGCTTTCTTTTCATTTCGACACCAAAATTCAATATTCAAAAATTCAAAAAAGATTCATGCGAAACTGGAAAACAGAACATTTTGTTGCAAGTTTTTTATACAACCGCAGCTTGCTTATGCGAAATAAAGCCTACCCAAGCCCAATGCTATGATTTCCACCCATGTTATCAAATGCAATTGTCTACTCCACAGAGATCCAATAAGGGAGCTAAACATTAAAAATAGCAAAGAAACTGAACTTGGAGCAACGGAAGTTTCAACCATTCGCAAAATAATCTCTACCTCTACTGCAACAAGCCAGAACTTCAAGCTTGTTACAGCTAGTTGCTACGCCACATGCTGCCATCCTAAAGTGTAGCAACCACATTCAATAGCTGAACTACCCAACAACAAACAAACCCAAACAACAATATCATGCCAAACCAAAACCTCAGCCATCCCAAAAAATCAGTTTACCAACGTCGCTGTAACAAGTCAAAATTTTTCGAACTTGTTGCAGCAAATTCTTAGGTACAAACTTCAACTAAAGCCACCTGATCCTAGGCAACAAAATACTCAAACATTCTCCCTGCTTTGCAAACGTAGATTTCAGCATAACAAAATCAGAATAAAAACACTAGCTGGGAACTTCTTGCAACTCATCCAGCACACGAACTCAGATACATTTTCAGAGGAATTGGCCATATAGATGTCCTTTCTTTTCAAAGCTCACATTTTGCTACTAAACCACAACCTAATAACAAATATAAACAGCACCAAATAGATTTCAAACCCTACCATACCTAACATGCAAAATAACAACAAAAGACAACAACTTTAAGCCATAAACAAACACGAGGAAACAGCCATCGCAAGTCTTTTGCATATTCACCGACTTAAACCAAATGACAACTCAAACACATAACCATCAAAACATCAAACAAACCCATGATTCTCGTAGAAAGTATCTATAGGAAAAGCTAAAAAAAGAAACCTTACAGTGCTATTTCGATGGAATTTAGTAGCGATGGAAAAAAAAAGAAAGACTCCAGTAGCTCCTCTCCTTCTCTTGGATCCCATATTTCTTTTCCTTCTCTTGGTTTTCTCTTCACGTTGTTCCCGTAGCCCCTCTCACTTTTGCTTTTCTTTCTTTTCTCCTCAGCCGAGAGCTCTCTCGGTTCTTTCTATCTCTCTCTACCTCCCTCTTTTCCTTCAGCCGTCACTCCCTTCTCTTCAAACCTTTCTTAGCCGTCACACTCCCTGTCCTCTTCTCCTCTCGCTCGGTTCCCCTTTGCTAGCCTTTTATAGCAAACCAAAATTCCCAAAACCCACAACTCAATGGCTCCGATAGAAACTCCCTCTTGCCACTTATCACTCGGACCCTTGGATTAGTTCTTCCATCTAGATTCTTCTTAGTTCTTAGATGCAAGCCAGGTGGTTAGGGATTAACAGGATCCAATGGTGAGGAAAAAACAATGAAAAAAATGGTGGAAAAAGGAAATGGAACCGAGCTCATTTGCTTCTGTACTTCGCGTATTTCATGCTTCTGATAAGAAAGCATTTGAAATGTTTGTCCGCGTGAAGTTCACGCGCGCGTGAGCTTGCCTTCCTTTTTTTATTATTTTAAGAATTTAATGCAAAAATACCTTAAAATGAAAATGATAAACTCAACTCATAAATCTGAACAAAATGAAACATTAACTATAAAATAAAAATAAATAGCAAATAATAAATACTAAAAATAAAAATTTGGTATCTACAATAAGATCCAGTAAACTAAAGAACCTAGAACCGAAATATAATCAGCAGCGTGGATATACATACAGTTAAAATAGACTTACATCGTGTGACCAATACATTACAGTCCATATAACTTAGTGTACATGGAGTTGTATTTGTACATAGATAATGCCGTTGTTTTAGAGTAAAAGTAAGGTGATGTGAATCATTAATCATAGTGAAAAGCGTAATAATAGGATTTGGTATACGAGTAATGTGTAATTCATAACACATTATGAATGGTAATATACATTTACGTTGTCGTTTATATACATACTATTCATGAAGTGTTGCAAATTAAGGTGTTTGATGCATAATTGGCATGAGCAGAAGTAATGGATTGCAGCAAATTGGTAGAAGATGAGACCCCTGAGTTAGGAATGGAGTTCAACAGTGACGAGGATGCGTACAAGTTTTACAACAAATATGCCTTAAAAATGAGTTTTAGTGTAAGCAAAAACTATCTGAATAAAGACAAAGACAGTGTGACCACGTCTAGAAGATATAGTTGCTGCAAGAAAGGTGTGAAGCGCAAGTACGAAGGTGATGTGATGCCAAAGAGGACACGAGCGCCAACGAAAATAGGGTATGGAGTTAAAATGGTTATCGTGTTGTTTAGAGGGACAATGAAATACCGTGTGCATGACCTTGTCTTAGAGCATAACTATGAGTTGCACATTGCTCAATGTTCGCACATGATGCCATCACAAAGAAAAGTGAGTGAGACTCAAAGATTCCAAATTGAAATAAGCGAGGATGCTGGGTTTTCATTGAAACAGAGCCATGAGCTTATGGGAAAGGAGGCAGGTGGGATGGGTAATGTGGGATATACTCGGGATGATCTTAAACGATATCTTCGAACAAGGCGGGAAATGAGCTTGAAATATGGAGAAGTAGGTAGCATGTTGAATTATTTTCAAGAGCAAACACTTGAGAATCCTTCTTTTTTTCATGTCGTACAGCTAGACTGTGAAGAGCAGACAACGAATATCTTGTGGGCTGATACAGGAATGTTAATTGACTACAACTTTTTTGGAGACGTAATCACATTTGACACAATCTACAAAACAAATAAAGAATACCGACCACTTGGAGTATTTGTGGGTTTTAACCAATATAAGCAAATTGTGATATTCGGTACTGTCCTTATATATGATGAGACGATAGATTCTTTCAAATAGTTGTTTGGTACATTTCTAGAAGCAATGTCCGAAAAACATCCAAGTACCATACTAACCGACCAAGATCACACCATGGCAGCCGCTCTTTCACTTGTCATGTCCGAAACGTTTCACGGTCTATGTACGTTTCACATAAGACGTAATTTTATGAAATATCTTGGCAATCACTACAAGGAAAATAGTGACCTTCCATACATGTTTGGTGCCTGCATGTATGAGATTGAAGAAGTGGAACAATTCAACAGGATGTGAGAGGCGATGGTAAAAAAACACAATATTGAAAATAATGAATGGCTCTCCGGGCTGTATCGAATTCGTGATAAATGGGCTAGGTACATGATGAAAGAAGGATGGACCGCGGGAATGCGAAACACCCAATTTAGTGAAAGCCTAAATACAGTAATTAAAATCATTTGAAACTGGATCACGACCTTGTGCAGTTCTTTAGACATTTCAATTGGGTGGTTGATAATAAGAGATGTAATGAACTCATCGCAGAATATAAAATGAGGCAATAGCTCCCTATGATTGGGTTGAGGCAAACATCTATACTTGTGCATGTAGCAAAGACGTATTCATCAATCGTATTTGGTGCATTCCAAAATGAATATGGCGAGTCAACAAATATAGTTATATTGAGACAACAAGATGCAGGGATGTTTGTGGAGTTTGCGGTCATGAGGTATGATGGAGGACCTGAAAGAATAGTGGTATTCAATCGGAATGATCTAAGTGTACGTTGTAGTTGCAAAAAATATGAGAATGAATGAATTTTGTATGGGCACGAGTTGAAGATGTTTGATACCGTAGGCATAAAAACAATTCCTCCTGAATACGTTAAGAGGCGATGGACAAAAAGAACTCGGGTTGGAGAATGTTTTGATCAGCGAGGATGAGAAATTGTGGCTGATCCAAAAGTAATGATTTCAACTCATTATCGGAAGCTCGCTCCAGCCATGATTAAGGTCGCAGCTCGAGCAGCAATGTCGGAGGACACCAGCAAAGTAGTAATCAGCGTCATATCCGATTTGGCAAAGAGAGTTGAGCTCCTCCTCTCAAAAAACAAAGAGCAACCTTAGTAAAATCATAAAAATCTGAATGTGAAGGAACGTGATAAAATTGAAATTGTAAATGAAATGGGAGAGGCAGTAGTCGCAAGAGGCATTAAAAAATGAATCGGTGGGAAGAGAAGTAGAGTGATGTGAAGTTCGGTTGATAAATATGACAGAGTAAAAAGAAAATCTAGATTGTCAAGAACTACACAGACTACGGTATGGATCCATTTTTTATGATGGTAAACATTTATGCTAAAACATTCTTATTATATTGCTGTTAACTCAAGTTTAGGTACCATTCACTATAAAGTGGCATTATTGTCGTGTCAATAATACAGATTTCAGAATCGGAGCCGACATCGGTTGACTTTGATGAACACATGTTTATGGGATGCAGTTCATCTACTGACTTAGTTTCGATTAATATAAAATGGTCATGGCTTTAGATTTTATTTAGATGTTTCTAATAGCATAATTAGTTACATTGATGTTATATTATGTGATAATTTTATTACACCTGTCATCCCTCCTGATATATCTATTTTGTCTGTCTTATACAATTATTTGGCCCTTCAAAACTCATAGATGCATTCAAGGATCCAGTCAGTGAATGGCCCTCCAAATGTTATTACTCCCGAAATCGAGAAAAATGAAATAGTATGCATACATTTAGTAGGAAAAATAAAGATTTTGTTGTTCGTAATGTACAACTACTTTTCTGCTTATTGTAATGGTGGGCACCTGAACGATTCAAAGCATGTATATTATGTAGTTAACGTATGCTCGCTTCTATTACCAATTGTTTTGTATTATTCGAAGGTGCACCGTTTGTCTAATTAGGGGCCTCCTGCAATAGTCCCTACAGAATGGATGCCTCCCAAATTTTCTATTTTTTCCAAGCATAACTCTGTCAGAGATATCTTAATGGTCTGATATATCAATTTTTTTTATAATGTCTAGTCCAATTTAGCTTTTGAAGTGAGCAATATAGGCACTGGTAATGATTTGTTAACAGTTGAATAGTTATATTATATAATGTAGGAGCATGCGGCAATTTCAACACACTGTGATATTGATGCATATCATGTATTTTCACCATCACCGCAGGTGACAAACTTTTAGCGTTACATCACATATTTATGTAGTGTTGTTAATTGGATACTTGGACATCGTATATTATTAACCATCTGTTCCATTAGATGTATTGGCTGATTTGCCATCGTTACACATTTCAGGAAAGAAATAACACCCAGGGATTGCGACTAACTGTTGACGTCGCCTCCCTTCAGAGACAGATTGATGAATGATGTGTATCTCTAATTTTTCAACAACACATTAAGTGGTTGACCAAACTATTGAGTTCCAATTATTCATTCACCAAGTTGACCTTATTTATTGATTTTAGTACTTCTCTGTTGAAGATATTGCTCAGTTTCAATCGCTTCCCTATTGTCAGTTTCTTTTAATCTACAATCTCGAAATGAATTCATGCATGTTGACTGTAACTCACTAGATTTTTTTTTATTTTCATACATTAGTTGTCTTGAACGAGATTTGTGGTGTTTTTCAACGAATATTTGCTATTGGACCTCCATGTCGGCCTGGTTGGAAATGCTCCATATCTATGTTACAAGCAGTTAATAAGTTATTGCAAGTTATTCATGTACCTGTACAGGCACCTTCAATGTTTCACTCTGTTCAAACTTAGACAAGTGGGATACAATTGTACTAATTTTCATTGTTAGTAGTCATCAATTGTTCTATAATGGGTTGTATAAAGTTGTTAAGAAATTATAAAGTTGACTGAAAATTAGAGTAACATTTTTATAATACGATTGAACGTGCTTCTTTATGATTATGATATTTTTCATAGAATACCATAACAAATGACTGTCATGATATATATACCATTGTCCAACATTCAGCTGCAATCATAAATAACATCTTTATTGGCATGGATGGCACTTAGAATGGCTAGATGTATCATATAGCAATCGGCCTTAACAAATTGTTATTATTTTGTTACGATGCCTTGCTGAATTATTATGTGCCATTTAGTCACCAAAAAATTTACATAATTCACTACATATGGATTACATTTTCAGAACGAACGGTTCACACCATTGACATGATGTATTATAGGCACTTCAATAGGTGTTACAAAAATCTTCCTAATTGAATTATGATCAAGTAACCACACGACCATAATAAGGTAATAGTTTCGCAGAAGAAAATGATAGTAGAAAGGGACAGCTAATTCCGTTTGTTAAAACTAAGTTTTATAATGCAACAAATATTCATAACGAAGCATACAGAATGAGTTACAACCAATTAGGTGTATGTTACAATATGTTATAACTAGTACAAGGATCTTTAACAGGCATCATTAATATCCAAATAGGGGGCAAAATGTTAAAGTAGAGATTATAATGATAAAACTTTTTCTTGCTACCTTCACGAACATCGGACTACATCCCTCGTCATCTGTCGTATTCCATATAACACCTAGAAACGCCGTCATGCATTAGACAATCGGGTATGTACCTCTGAAAGTCATCATCGCTTGATTTAATAAAGTCAGATAGGTCCGGGTCGGATATAAGCATGGGATCCGCTAAAATATTTTCGACATCAAAATCTTTTGCAATAGCATGTCTTTTTGCGGCCTCAACCTTGTGAAACCTGTGTAGCTTACGCTCCATCTATATAACTTCTCGCTGTAGCCTATGTAATACGCTTACATCATTCACTTCTAGTCCTATAACAAGCTCCGCTGAGCGTGTTCTCTTGACATGGAGGCTATGCTAGCGACAAAATACCTCTAATTCCATTCTTCGCTCACGAATAGGCTCCCATATGGGTTCAGGTTTGAGAATGTAATTACCAGAGAGGGTAGGTGCTTGTGGACACTATCTTTGAAAATATGGTCAGCTAGTCCCAGAGAGTTGTTGGTGTTAAGTGGAGCGTTCCTGAAATCGCATATGGCACCATATAAAATCCTCCCATCTGGTGTTTCGTACCTCCTTAGAGTATTGGTTGGACCCGACGATACTTTCCGCTTTTTTTGCCGAACCTTTGATTGTGAGCTTGTATGAGATCTTTCAAAAGTGGGTTGCATGACTATGCTAAGATCTACTGCTTTTTGGTTGGATGAAAGGAATGACGGTCTGCCAAAGTATTGGGGGGGAGATAACAAAGAGGTATAAAGTTTTTTGGTAGATCGTGGGTAGAAGGTTTATATGTGTATGTATATAAACATATTTAGTTATTGTGTGATATAAATAGCATCACATTTATATTTAGCTATTGTGTGATATCAAAGCGGATGTCCGTGCCATGCATAGTACACATTTATTTTGAACACCTTTAACAACTACATGCTGTGTCATTTCATCCTGTTCTCCACGTTGTGACACCCCCACTTCTCCCAAGGGCAAACCTAAGGGTATTCGCGGGACGCCTGCCCAACTCTCGCCAGGACTCGAGACAATTCCAATTTAAACTTAAAGTCTAATACTAACAATGAAAGTCGGAATAAAGGTACGAAGTCATTTCCATACATAAATGTTCAATCTCACATCAAAATTTCAAATTTTTCATTACTTTCCCCAAAATATACAACATCCAAAAGTGTCTAGTCAATTACAATCAAAACACTAATACAAAAGTGGTTCAAGTCGGCATTTTCTTAACTTCTTTCATTCCGGTTCTTGTTAAAGAAAACAAACTAATGGGATGAGCTAATACTCGGTGAGGCCAAAAAAGTCATGCAAGCACATAGTTCAAGTATCAATAACATTTATACCATAAATAAAGCAATAAAGTCTAGTAATTCACGATTAACAATTTAAACACACTTGAGTAGGATACAAGAGCTCTTAGGAGCTAATTTCCACATGCTTTGCCAATGCTCGATCCACTACCTCCACAAGTTGACATGCTGTCAACCGGATAGGTTTTGAAATCCGTAGAAGCTCTACTTACTATCTTCAACCAACATTTCACCCTCTCGGATCCGTAATCAAACACGCACGAAAAAGGCGGTACTCGACGAGTATACTGAACAAGATTTCAAAAGATCAAGTTTTGTTTTGTTATTTTCTTAGTTTATCAAGCTTCTCGACCAAGTGTGAGGACCCGAAAAATTTCTTATTTTTATTGAATATTATTGGTTTATTTAAATATTTATTCACCTGTTTTCTCCAAATAATTTATTTCAACCATTTTAAATCCATTCATATGGAACAATGTTTTCCTTATGTTTTTAAAACATCCCGTTAGCAAATTTAATTTTTTGAGGTTCGTTTAAGTGAGAAATAATGAGTACATGTGTTTCGAGGTGATATTCTATTCGAGAGTGTAATTATTTTGAGAAAATTAAGAATGATCAATAGTAGATTAAGAAAAGTTAATTGAGAAATTAAAGGTGAATAAGTTCTAATTAAGTGCTTACCGCTCGCGCGTTCATAGTTTTCCGAAAGATGCGCTGATGTAAATTTATTGGAGATTTGAGGAAGTAATACTAGACTCATGCGAGGACTCACAAATTTTCCTATTTTAAACCCCTATTACTAGCCCATTTAAATATTTAAATGCCCGTTCACTTCGAATATTTTATTCTAACCCTTTTAGACCTAATTACATGGAACTATAGCTTACTTATATTTTTAAAGTGACTTGTTTCAAAATTAATTTTTGGGAAGCTCGTTTAGCTAGAATAGTGAATACGCGTTTGGAGATAATAGTCGATTCGAGAATACAATAAGCTTGGAATTGGAGACTTGTACATTAGTTTTAAAATAGATATTTTTATGTTTAAATACTCAAGTATTAGTTTGTGACACTATCGTTATAAGAAATTATTGGAGATTTCACTTTATCACGCACAGATCGGTACTACGAGTTTTTACGTGCGCGATTAATTGAGGGAATTTAAACCCTTATTTTTAGACCATTAAGAGTGAATAATAATAGTATGAATGAAAGTACATTAGAGGTTTAGTGCACTAGTGGAATAAACTCGAGAGAAATCAAGCACAAAAAACGCGCTTGCGCCCGCGGGAAGAGAGTTGACTTTTGCACAATTTTGAACCACACATTAAAGCTTCTCAAGGAAGCTTCATTGCAGCCCAAACACTCTCCTTTCTCTCTCTCATTCCAGCGGCTAAAGGAGGAAGAAAAACAGCCCACATTTCTTCTTCATTTCACCTTCAAATCTTCACCAAATCACCTCAAATTTTACGTACAACTTGCTAAACACTTGGTGAACAACCTAAGTTAGGAAAAGAGCTTGCTTTCCACTGTTTTCTTTAGCTATCAAGGGCTGAAAATTTCTGCTTGAGTTACCAACAAAGGTAATCAACGATCAACCTTTAAATTCTTGGTTTATAGAAGATATCTTGCACTTATGAGTTCATAATTTCACATGGGTAGCTTTAAATTGTTGAAAATTGGTGAGTGAGCTCTATGAACTCCCACTATGGCTTGATGGACTGATTTGATGAGTTTTAATGTTATTAATGTTGGATTGGTGCTTAATTTAGTAGAAATAAGTGATATTGTGGATGGAAACTCAAAGGAAGTGAAGAGGGGAATTTTTCTGTTTCTGCCCCTGTCAATGCCGTGACCCTTAGAATATTTTTTTGAGGTTCAATTGACTTGTTTATGATGTATATATGTTTCTTGGGCTGTACGGAAGGTTTCACAAAAAATTATGTGATTTGGTTGGCCAAATGTTGTGATTTCGAAAGTTCATCAAAACTAGAATTTTTCTCGTATTGCTCTGGCAGTGTTTTTCAAACAGCTATAACATTTTGGTCCGACGTCGAAATCAAGTGCCGTTTCTAGCATTAGAAACTAGACACTTCCTTTTTCCAACGGTATAAAATTCGTGCCCTGATTCCACCTGAGCTAGCTGTACCAACCATGTAAATTTGTTTGTTCTGTTTCGCGTCTGTACTGGAAGCTTTGTTTTGGGCAGCAATTTGATGCTCAAATTTGAGCTAGTTGTGGATAGATTTTTAAAACAATTCCTTTTGTGAAATTGTAGCCTTATGAATGTAGTTTCTAACGCCACCAACTACGCTCAATTCCAAGTTGAATTGAGTGAGTTGTGGCCGAAGTTCGAAACTGATTTAGTGGTTGAAAACCCTCTTTTTGACTAGTAAATGCCTAAATCTTGATTGAGACTTGTTGTTTTGAAATTCTTGGTGTTAATCACCTACCAAATGTATCTTGGATGTTTCTTAGACATTGTCTACAGAAATGAATCATATTTGAGATGTTTTTGTTGGCCAAACATTTGGGA